ATTTCGAGAGGTGGAATTTGAACCAATCATAGATATTCACAGTCTGGCAATGAGCCAATCAGATTTCGAGAGTTGAGAGTTGGGCAGTCATAAGTTTTCGTGGCCTGGCAGTGCACCAATGAATTTTCGAGAGTGGCCACTTGTGTCAATCATAGGTTTTCATGGTCTGGTAAAGTGCCATAGAGATTTCGAGACTGGGTATTTGGGCCACTCATAGGTTTTTATGGTCTTGCAATGCGTCAATCAGATTCCAAGAGCTGGAAGTTGGGCCGAATCGTAGATTTTTGCGGTCTGGCAATGCGCCAATGAGGTTTCGAGACTGAGCATTTGGGCTAGTCATAGGTTTTCATGACGTGGCAATGCGTCAAGAGAATTTCGACAGTGGTCGCTTGCGCTAATCATACGTTTTCATTGTCTGACAATGCAGGAATGAGATTGCGAGGCTAAGCATTTGGGCCAAACATAGGTTTTCGAGGTCTGGCTATGTGCCAATGAGATTGTTAGGGTCGGAATTTGGATCAATCATAGGTTTTCACCCTCCGAAGACTTCAGGTTTAGATTGGTAGTGTGAAGTGTTTGCAAATCAAGTTTTTTTCTGGGGCTAAGTTATCAAATTCCGATGAATAGTGGATTAACGGATGAAATGTTTCAAGATTTTGAACGCAACAGATTATTTAACAATTGATACTTGAGTGGTTAGTTTTGGCGGACCACCAGAGGCGAAGTATTTTCTCTATTGGAAGGAGGATTACACGCTGTGTGAGCGATGTTCGTTCGATCATAGTACCTTTTAGGTGATTCATTGAACCATGTAATATTAAGCTTGACTAGAAGTGCTTAGGTTGCAGGAACTCAAATCCACTTTATTTTATTTAAGTTTTTCACTCATTTTTTTGTAAAAAGAGCGCTTTTTTGTGAAAAGCTGAGTTTTTTAGAAAGTTTGACCAAAAACTCTTGGGGTAAAGAAGTTCAAATGTTGGATTAGTTTTCCGATATTTTTTGATTCGATTTGTTTTTCGATAAAAAAAAAGGGCTTTTTTTCAAAAAATCGACTCTTTATAAAGCTTGATTGAATGTATCGGGGGCGAGCAATTTAAAGCTGTCTGTGGTTTCGTAAAGTTCTACATTGGTTTTTTCGTGTAGAAAGTTTTCTCTATCTCGTTCTGTTTCTGCTAAAACTTTGTAGAACGGTTGAAGTGGTTCCTTTACAATTAATCTGAGGTGAGTTTCAAATATGAGGATTTGAATGGAAGATTCGGTAATGTTTTTACGGAAAGCGTGATAATTGCAAGAAGTTCAAATTGTTTATGACTTTTCTCAGAAATATCGGGTTTTAATGCTGGTACGAATTTAGAGCGTGTAGTTGAGTCATTTTAGTAAACGTGACGCTCAATGATGAAACCTAGAGTTCGAAATAACTTGATCTAAGAAAGTAAATTGTCGATATTCTGATTATAGACAAAGTTGGGCGCACATCACGAATACAGTATGTGTCACATTGTTTTCAAGTTCTAGAAAGCGTTAGCGAATGTGTATTTGCTTACGCGATGTAATATTGGGAACGGGTTACTACGAGTAACTTTCTTTTGTGTACCAATGTACTGATGAAATTTCGATTACAGTCGATTATTCATGCAAAAATAATTAAGTACTGAGAGAAAACTCGAAACAAGTCGAGAGAAATTGTATTGTGGATAATAGATGTGTCATCGTTCACAGCTTACAAATAAATAAGGATAGTAGCAAAATGCCTATTGTATAAATGATCATGCAAAAATATTTTCAAATGTTTTGCCCGATGAAATCTAATCTATTGAATTCTCGAGTTGTACTGTTGATGGTTATACTTGTTTTCCTGAATTTTTTTCCATTGATATAATGTTAGTCGTTGTTCTGGAGAGGAGCGAGAAGATTTGAAGTCATATGCTGGATCATATGAACTTGTTCCTCCTTTACAACATTTTACATTTCTTTATTGATGTCTTTTGCTTTTTGTCATGAAATATTGACTTAAGAAGAATAGTAAGAACTTCGTCTAATATGCGGAAGATTTTACTGCTCGTTTAACTTCAATATCAAATGAGAAAGATAAAACCCTATGCAAGACTATAATATGGCTCAAAGCAGGAAACTATCTGTAGTTCAGCATTGAAGATCTTTTTTTGTCGCCCTTCTATATAACAGTCTTCAAAATTTCTCTCACACAAAAGTTTTCGAAAAATCGAAACTCTATCTCGTCGAAACATGTTAATACGCTCTATCCAAAAATAGAATAGAAGTTTTTTAAAATGATCCTCATCATGTATGTGTATGAAAGCAATAATTATTGTAGTTCTCTGCTCACATATCATAAACTCAGCGGCACCGATTCTTCCAGTAGAGGATCAGCGACATTTAGATCGCGCTACCTTGTTTATTTTACTTTGATATTGAACGATAATCAATGTTGATTAAGTATAATCGATTTTGGATGATAATTTACATGTTATATAATATATATATTCTTTCTATTGTCAGTCCAGCTTTATATATTCAGAAAAAAACCTCAAGATGGTTCGATGAACTTCTTAAACATAGAATAATTTTTATCGCATATCTTTACATGTTACTAAACGTTTGGTTTTATTTGAATTATTCTTGAGATCTGCGTTACTTGAAATTTAATTAAATGAATTTTTAGTTATGCCAATCTTCTTATCATTTTGTAATAAATGACTTATTATAGTTGAATTTTGTTAACATAAAAACCTATATCAAATTTAAAATTCTTTTGAGTTTTTTTCGTTTGATATACGCTGTTTCAGATGAATATCAGAGTAATAAGTCATGTGTTATAAGATGGTAACAAACCAGTCCGACAAGACTTTAAAAAAACGTGTATTTTTTTGAACAAATTTTAATATGTTCAAAAATCACTCGTTTTTGCTTGTTCTTCTCAAAGTAATTCAACATGTATAGACGCAGAATCTTTAGTTCAATTACCTATATTTATACAGAAACACCTGATGGGAGACTTATTATTTATAAACTGTCCGACTACTTTTTTTTTTTTTTACTCATATACGAGCTAATGCCTGCTTCTTCTTCTATTTGTTTACTTCGTTTACATATTATTTTTCTCAAAGTTCAAAATATGATTTCTATGTTGTTTTAAATGAAGATAAATACAAGTTTGTAAAGAATTCAATTATGCATCTATTAAAAACAAATTCTGACTATCTAATTAAGATCCACGCGTTCTAAATTAAGTATAAAATCTACATATCCATATGTTATGCTATGGAGAGCGTTGATTGGATTAGTATTTCTCTCCTCAGCATTTCAAAATTATAAGTCACTAGCGGAAGTACCCGACGTTGCCCGGAAAAGTTCAGTCTTAATATATGCAAGAACAACTTCTATTGCGCTCGAGAACATGTCAGAAAACCTAATCAGCAGAGAGTAGACACGCATAAAGCCTTATTTTTTGTTCCGGTCCTGGTTATGGCTCTTGGACGTATTTTAAGTCCCAGCTACGGCTACTCTCGCTCTCGACAGATATGAAATACTGACATGGAAAAATTTATCAGAAGTGAAGGATTCTTCATCCTTACTCATCTAGATCAAGAAGAACTTGATGAAACTTATGAGTTCTATCGATCCCGATCGTACTGGGCCACGTTCCTGGTTCCAGAGCTGTATAGTTATGTCTCTAGTGAGGAGCCCACATGGCCACTCGATTCTTCGACAGCGTTGCAAGAAAAATCCGTTTTGATCGAAACTAAGCATAACGATACATCTAATTGATCTAGAACGTCTCACTTTGTACTACTGAAATCACACTGAATTCCAATTGATTGCAAAGAAAGACAGATCCTTTAGCAACCTAAAGAGTCAATATCTATGACGCGCAAATTTTCAGCGTCATAGGCTATCTATTGGAAATCCCTGTCTCACACAACCTCCAGGGATCAACTTCCCCAAAAGCTGGATTTGTGTATGACATGGGTCACCCTTGATATTCGTTTTCCCAAAACACGATTCTTATTGGTTTCGGGTCAATCAATCAGATTTGAAAACCTGTAGTTCCATGTTTTCTGTGTGTTCATAAAGTACTGGTAAATAGTACTCCTATAGTACAGAATACTGCAATCTGATTGGCCAGTAGCATGGGCATACTTTTTACGGGTGAAACACCAATCCTTTTTGAACAAAAAAAATAGATGTTGACCTTCTCCTGGATGAAAGGAGAATTCCTAGAAAGTTTGATTGAATTCGCTCGTACGGTGTGGAAATGCATAAAGAACAGACAGACAGATTAACATTCTTTTTTATATATAAGAAGATCAAATTCTATAGATCCACCTCAATTGTCCTATAACGTGAAAAACATCCTCAAAGTTCTCCAACAACAGGGATTAGATTTTTCTCAAGATTTTCTCAGTTTAGGAGTTTCACATAGTTCTTCTTGTCTAATGTTCATGTAAATGATCATCTTACAAAAAGATTCTACATTCTCACAATTACGAATAAACCCTCAGATCTCTATATTTTTCTATCAGAAGCTTTCATAGAATTAGCATTACTCTTTCTTAGAGGACCTTCTTACAGCAATCTCCAGGTTGTGTTTTTATGATCAAAAAGACCTTGGCAAGAACTAAAAGTAACATAGATGTAAAAATCGTTACCAAATCCTTTTTTATAAGAAACTAGGAAAAGACTTCTGAACTTTTATCTGTGGAATGAGCATTCTCAAAGATGAATGTCGTATTTGTAGCGCTTACTCCCATGAGAGACGAGATCCCTTCGATAATGACGATTCCTTTTCTTTTTTGTTCATTGTAGTAATTCCCAATATTCCAGCTACTGCTCGATGGGCACAGAATGCGACGACTGTTGCTGGAGGCCATGGAAAAGGCAATGCCACCAATCAACTCATCGGGCCTCAAGGTCTCTTCGTTGATGATGATCAAACGATGGTCATTGCTGACTTCAACAATCATCGTATCATCCAATGGAAGATGGGTGATACGAATGGACAAGTAGTAGCTGGTGGCAATAACTATGGAAATCGATTGGATCAATTGTGGCTTCCAAGCGATGTATTGATTGACAAAGAGACGGATAGTCTCATTATTTGTGATCTAGGGAATGAACGAGTTGTACGATGGTCTCGTCGTAGTGGCACAACTCAAGGAGAAATCCTCATCAACGACATCCGTTGTTTTGGATTGGCCATGGATGATCAGAGATATCTCTATATCTCTGACACCGAAAAAGATGAAGTAAGACGGTATCAAATAGGAGACAAGAATGGAACTATTGTGGCTGGTGGCAGTGGCGAAGGTGCTGGTCTCAATCAATTCAACTGGCCGACCTACATCTTTGTCGATCAACAACAGACTATCTACGTGTCAGACTACAACAATCATCGTGTAATGAAATGGAATAAAGGTGCAAACGAAGGAATTGTCGTTGCTGGAGGTAAAGGTAATGGGAATGCTCTGACACAGTTGTATATTCCTCAAGGACTGTTCGTCGATACATTGGGTACCATCTATGTGGCAGAATTTGGAAATCATAGAGTAATGCGTTGGCCTAAAGGAGCGAAACAAGGCACTGTCATTGTGGGTGGAAATAGTTACGGACAAGGAGCAAATCAGTTCAACTATCTCCAGGGTTTGTCTTTCGATCGACATGGCAATCTCTATGTCGTCGATCCTGGGAATCATCGTGTTCAACGCTTTTCAATTGAATAGACTCATTGTGATAGATTTTTTTTCTTTCCTTTCGTTTCAGATAAATCGCATTGAATTCATGAAATGAATGTCTATTCTATTCGCGGGCGCGCGACCAGGAACCATCCTGATGGAGCCGTGGCGAGCGTAACGCTCATGCACGCACAGAACAGACTCATATCATTCATACCCTCCCCGCGAGAGATATGTCAATGAGTCTGAATAAGCCTGGTCGTGTGCCACGGACACCAAGACAGTTCCTGGCCGGGCTTTTAGGGACTACCCGGAAGTCCTTCCTAAAAGACGAAACCCTAACCCTCAACGGACAGAACTCACCCTCCTCAATCTGCTTCTCCCTTATTCTCATCTCAAAAAAAAAAGTTACTCACTACGTTTGAAGTTGAATGATGATGTTGTTGATGATGATAACGCGATGATATTGAGGACTAAAGAGGAAAGAAAAAAAAATTAAATTAATGTTACATAATAGAAAAGAATCAGATCACTTACCCCCACTATTATCTTTTTTCTTCACTGTTCAATGTCTAAAATTAAAATAGCCAATGCATAAAAAAGATCATAGGAGGTCTTACTACTCTCCATATGATCTTAAAGAAAGAAAAAGAAATAAAAAAATGATACCTACATTTTATTTTATTGTTCGATGTTGATTTTGAATAATTTTGTATTGTCGAAGCCAATCTAAAATATAAAAGAAAATAATTATTATTTGATTCAAATAATTGAATGACTTCTTCGAAGAAAATCATTCACTTTTATACCTCCAAAAATTGTATTTTTTCTTGGGCGAGAAAATATTCACTATTTTTCTTCTCGTCGGAAAATAATCAGACGTCAAGTTTGATTAAGCTTCAATCTAGACATACACATACATTGAGATATATTCGATCACAAATATCTCAATGTATATGTGTGGATAAAGCTTAATTTTTTTCACACATTAATTGTACATGTTGATCATTGATCATCAATGATAACATAAACGATGACTTATGGACGAGAGAATGAAAAAAAGAAATATTGCTCTATTGGCCTATTTCTGTTTTGTTTTCTGTCTCTCTCACATGTTCAGTATGCGTACAGAAGTGACGAACACACATGCACATGTAAAAGGTATGTTGTCATTTTCTTGTAGGGTATTGTCCTTTTAATATATTTCTTTTGAATTAAATGGTTTATTTTTGTGTTTTTCTTTGAAGCAAATATATATGTTGTTGAATCAGCTCTGCTGCTTGTGAAAATCGATGCTTTCTATTAATAGATGTAGATTACTATGTAATGTCAACATCAATGACTTAATTTGATTGTGAATTCATTCGATATAAATTCTTTAGATATCATTTGATATGGAAAAAAATGAAATTTAAATATATCGTGCTAAACCATTACATAATCTTATTTTATTTTTATTTGTTTACTATGATTAATGATAATCAATTACAACATTTACATATGATCATTTGTTTATTATTTTTATTTGTTATATAAAATATACAATATTAAGTCACACGAACTGTCGAGCAATTCCGAAGCCGAGTTACGATCATTTTGATGAAGTTTTAATCGATTGAATATTAGCTGAAGTAATGCAACAGCGGTGAATGAATCCTCAACATGGGAAAAAACAAAAGATTAAGATAATATATTTACATAATATTGTTTTTAGTGGTTTGGATAGTGTTTATTTTTTATGAATAATGCTGATGAATCCATGTATGCAGTTAATTTAACTAGTAATCAAACAACACCGTGACATTCTTCGTTCTTATTACTTTCATCATCAACATACGATGATAGTTCATTACTTGATTTGCCCATCAAATACGACTATTAAATGAAAATGTCAAGATAAACATTCATATATAAATGAACGAAATAATAATACACCAAATTCAAAACGTTTTAATAGTGCTACAAATAAGAATGTATTAGATGACAATATTGTTATAGGTAAGTTGGAATGAATAAATTTTTTCGAATTTAAAAATCAAAAGAATAAAAAAAATTCTATTTATTATTACAGAAAAATAAGAAAATATTAGAAAAAGATAATTTATATTGAATTGAAATGAAATTAAAAGAAACCGAACGAAATGATTGCTAATTGCCATGTTATTAAGAGAGGGTCCACGAGACCACCACCCAAACAAGTTGCCGAAAA